TATAATATTTGTGTGACTCTGGAGAAATTACTCAACCTTGCTTAGATTTATTTTTTTCATCTTTAAAATGAGAATGATTATGCCTATTCTCTTATTTCACAGAGTGATGTAAGAATGAAATGAGAAAATAAAATGGGAGAGTATTTTCTAAACCGTAAAATCCCATAAATATGTGATAGATTAGTTACAGTGATTTCTGTTTGCCAGTGTACCCCCAATAGTATATATCAGTCAAGGGTTAGGCAGGTGTCACGAGTATTCTACAGTGTTTTTATTTGTGAAAAGGGCTTGTGCTAAATGTGACCTGTTCATAACTGAAGAAAAATCAAAAGCTACAAGTGAAAATAAGGTATTAATTTTTGCAACCATACTCTTTTTATAGTTACTCTTAAGCACTATGCAAGGGTTAACTCTTACATTTTAAAAATAGCTCAAACTCAAACATATAAATCTATGTGTATGCACACATGTTATATTAATTATCTCTAAATGGATTATATATACAAACAATATTTTATACATATATAAAGTATTATATATTTTATTAAATTAAATATATAATAAATTAAATAAATATTATAATAATATGTTTATTAAATCCAATATATAATTTATAAAGCTATATAAACAAAATGAGAATTACTATTTTGGGCCTATTGTCCGTTTGGCCAGCTATTCTCAAGTATGCTGTGACTTGTATGCGTAGGTCACCCAGAGTCTAGTATTAATGACAGTAAGAATAACAGCTATTTATGTTGTGCTTACTATGTGCTAGAGACCATCCCAAACACTTAACATATATTAGCTCATTTGATTCTCACAACAGCTCTATAGGGCAGGTCTTATTATTCCCATTTTTACAGATGAGAAACTGAGTTATAAAAAGGATAATTATCATGCTCAGATAGCTAGTTTGTGGCAGACCTGAGTTGTGAACTCAGGCATTCTGGCTTTAGAATCTGTACTAGTATACTTTTAGATTCCTATGGTACTTTATAATATTTAAAATGCTTTCATACATGTTCTCCAGTTTCTTATAAAACTCTTGTGATGTGTATAGGGCAAGTGTTATCTTAATTTTAACAAAAGATATATATATATCTTTTGCATTTCCACAGTCCATCTTATATATTATTTTATGTAATTTTCAAAGAAGGCATGAGAACAAGTAAGGAGAAAATATTATTATTTCCATTTAATGTTTTTTATTTTTAAAACGTCCCTGGAGTCCAGACAGCCTAAATGACTCTACATTGGATATACAGTTAATTAGTGGCCAAACTTCAGCTGCTGTCAGTAATATCACCAATGATTTATTGAGCACTTACTATAAGCCACAGAGCTGTATTAGGCCCTTCCCTTGTTTAATTATATTTAGTCCTCACAAGAGTGCTATGAAGTGGATGGGTATTATCTCTCTTTTGAAGATGAGAAAACTGAGACTTAGAGAGTATAATAGCTTTTCCTAAAGCCTCAAGTCACAGGGTTGGTAGTAGGCAACAGGTTTATCTAACTCAAAGCTTTGTTATTTTCTCTACTCCATACTGACTTCATATAGAAGACAGTTAATATATTAGAATTAACTTAAACCAAGTAGAAAGAGAACATTAGTATGTGTGTGTACAAACTTGATTCTTATACTTCAGTGATCCTTCTAATACAGTCATGCGTTGCTTAACAACAGGGATGCGTTCTGAGAAGTGGGTCGTTAGGCAATTTCATCATTGTGTGAACATCATAGAGTATACTTACACAAATCTAGATGGTATACTACACACCGAGGCTATATGGTACTAATCTGTGGGACCACTGTTGGTCCATCATTGACCAAAACGTCAGTATGCGGCTCATGATTATATATTATTTTGATCATTTAATTTATATCTACTTTAAAAAAATGGGTAGCTCTTGCCTTAAACCCTCAGTTTCTAGGCAGTCTGAACACAGAAATGAGTTCAGAAGTGGAGAGAGGAAAGAGGCATAGAAAATTGCAATAGCTATGAATGTAGGAACGTAGGGAAAACTCAGGGTCAAGGTATGCTCACTGATCTGGTTGCATCATTTTACAAAAAGGCAAAAACATTTAGGAGGAGCATGGAGTTATCAGTTTAAAGGCATTGAATTATTTTATTCATATTCTTTCTGTTAATTCCTTGCTAAGAGCAATTTCATTAAGCTATGGAAGTTTGATTGAGGGAGTGGGGATACCATTTTGGAGTATGGAATACATTGAGGGGAGCATGAAACTTTGGAATCTTTCACTTGTTTGCTAATTTTTCTAACCTTTCATTTTCTCATCTGAAAAATGAGGGTCATGATAGCTACATAATACAGTTGTTGTGAGGATTCAAGTAATTAAGATATTTGTAAGTTATTTATCATTGTGGTGGTATGTCTTATTATTTGAGGAGTAGGGAAGGCCTAGGAGGGTATTAAAATGGTGGTGTAGGGATACACAAGAGCAGTGAGAACAGGGAATTTAGGGGAAAAAAGTGTAGCAGAGAGAAAGACTCTGAAGGAAAATGAAATAATGTAAAAGATAAACTTTTCTTTTTTCAAAATGCTGTCAAGTTCTAACCCCAACGTCAGAAAACTACTTTCATTCCCATCATTTCCTTCTGTCACTTAATTTCTCTGTTCTTTGAACATAGAACTTAGGCTACTTATATCATAGTTTCAATAAGCTTTTATAAAATAATTTGGGAAGAAAGCTAACATAGCATTAGAATTCAGAGTGCAAAATCTCAACCAAAAAATGAAAAAAAAAAGCTCCAGATAATTGATTACAAATAAACTTTGGGAATACATGTTCTCAAGAACTGCCATTATGGGGCAGCAAAAAGGTGAATGAGTAGGGATTATATATAGTTGACTATAAATAGTTCCCAGAGCCAAAATAGTATACGGTTTTTTAGTTAAAAATTTTCTTCACCTTTCTGCTTTGGTGGTAAGATCATCAAAATTTCTTGTATATAGTAAAATATCTATTAATATTTTATTGAATTATGTAATGTTCAAAGATGAATTTTTGAGTAAAAAGTAACTGAATTTGAGGTCTTAAACAACTGTGTATGAATACCTAATCATGCTAATTTATGAACTGTCTGATTTTGGTGAGGTTTTTAGCTTCTCTGAACTTTAGTTCAATTACTATAAAATGTTGATGACAAGACCAGCCTCCCTGGATTGTGGTGAGGATTAAATAATCAAGTATATAAAATGTCTGGCGAATATTAGGTGCTCAATAAATGTCAGTTTCCTCCTTGCCTTACAGATTTTTACTACATATTGAGAGTGATTCATCCTACGCATATATTCTTTGAAGTTATCTTTATTAGTCAGTATATGGACATAATTATATAAAATTTTGATTAATATAGTTTCTCTGAGATCTTTAAGAAAGTTCAGGACTAAGCACAGTATAGCCTGTTTAATAAAAGTTTGTTGTTATTATGAAGAATCAATAGACAGTTGATTCTACATTTGCTAAGAGCTGTGCTGGTAATAAGTGATACCGACAATAAGGAGGACAAAATTCCTGCCCCAAGCAACTAGCAATTTAATTCATTATCTTTTCTATTGTATATGTGCTACAAACCTATGAGTAAACATTGAAAAAACATTGAAATAGAAGAGATTCAAACTTTCAAAGGGCTTGGTTCTTAATTTTATAATGGTCAAGGGAAAGATGGAGGAAGAAGAAGAGAAATTTAGAGTTATTGATACACATCTGGGAATTTATGTAAATGGATACAGGGTTTTCTCCATGCCATCATTTCAGTTTTATTTCACCTAGGCAGAGGCATCATACACATATATAACCATTTGTTCCTCTGTATACAAGAATTTGCATACAGTCACATCCAAAAGCTCAAAAATTTCTCTTAGCTGGAATTAGTTGGTAATGCATATAAAAATAAAATTATTCTTAATTTTTTTATTGTGGTAGGAATAGTTAACAGGAGTCCCCTTAAATTTTTAAATATACAATATAGTATTGTTAAATATAGGTGCTATGTTGTACAGCAGATATCTAAAATGTATTCATCTTACATAACTGAAACTTTATACCCATTGAACCCCATTTAGACTCCATTTCCCCCTCATTCTAGCCCCTAACAACCACTATTCTACTCTCTGCATCCATGAGTTCGACTAAAATATCTCATTTAAGTGAGCTTATACAGTATTTGTCCTTCTGTGACTAGCTTATTTTATTAGCATAATGTCCTTGAAGTTCATCTGTGTTGTTGCATATGGCAGGATTTCCTTCCTTTTTTAAGGCTGAATAATATTCCATTGCACATATGTATCCCATTTTCTTTATCCATTCATCTGTCAATGGACATTTAGGTTACTTCCATGTCTTTGCTATTGTGAATAATGCTGCACTGAACATGGGAGTGCAGGTATCTCTTCAAGATCCTGATTTTAATTATTTTGGACATGTACCCAGAAGTAGCAATGCTGGATCATATGGTAGTTCTATTTTTGATTTTTTGAGGAACCTCCCTACTGTTTTTCACAGTAGCTGTACCAATATACATTCCCACCAACAGTGTACCATGGTTCCAATTTCTCCACATTCTCTCCAACACTTATCTTTTTTTATGATAACAGCCTCTTAACAGGTGTGAGGTGATATCTTATTATGGTTTTGATTTGCAATTCTCTGATGATTAGTCATGTTGAGCACCTTTTCATGTACCTGTTGGCCATTTATGTGTCTTCTTTGGAGAAATGTCTATTTAAGTCCTTTGCCCATTTTCTGATTGGGTTGTTCTTTGCTATTGGGTTGTGTTTAATTTTGTTTTAATAAGGACATGTATTCCAGTGAATGAAATTACATAACCTCCTCAAGAATGATTTTGGCCTCTAAGTACTTGTTATGAACGTTTATCATTACCTATTAAATTTAGCATTTTGAAATTAATTTATATATTATAGAATTGTGTTTTCAGCAGTATATTGACAATGACATTATATGGATTCATCTTTAGGCAATCCAGTGGTGTGAAGACATTTAGCAGTTGCAGTTTGAGTGACTTTGAAAATTTCATTTCAAAAATGGGTGTCAAATGTCTTCAAAATAAGCCACAAATGCAATCGCCTCCAACATCAATTTGTGGTAACCGCAGAGTAGAGGGAAATGAAGACTGTGACTGTGGTACTGAGGAAGTAAGTCTGATAACTAGGAAAATTGATTAATAAATTTGTTGTTTTAGTTCATCTTTTTGTCATAAATGCTATATATCTCAAATATGACTGAGTACCATGCAGAATATTGGCAGTATGTGAAATCAAGGTTGAAATACAAAAATATACTGTCTAGGTTTTATAGATTGAAGAGTTTTGAACAAATATAAAATGTACTCCCAAAAAATTATTGCTGATGGGAAAAAAGGTGAATCTCGAATGAGCTTTTGGGTTCCAGACTAAATATATAATATTTTTCCAAGCCTGTGCTTAACCTTTCGACATTTTATAAATGCCTAATTGAAGATGAATGTGTCAGCGGACCATCAAGAATCCTTCAGGGTATTACTTCACAATGGAATCAATAGTATGGTGAGGGAAGACTGTGTTAATATTACAGTCTGAACATTGGGTGATTTGGATTATTCACTTGCTAGGGAAGCACTGAAAATATAATAAATGCAAAAGGTCCAGGAAATAATGCTTCTAGACATTTCAATATTTGCAGCAACAAAGCAGATATTATAAATTGCCATGATTACAAGATAGATGGAAAAGATATTAGGGTTTTATACATACAGGGGTCTGAATGTACTTGTACCCATATCACATTGTTTTAATTACTATGCCTTTGTGTTATGTTTTACCATTTGGTAGAACAAGTCTTCCCTCTTTACTTTTCTTCATTTATTTTAAAATTAGTTTTATTGGGAGATAATCAACATACAATAAAATGCACCCATTTTAAGTGTACAGATTGATGTGTTTTGACAAATGTGTATAAGCATACGTGCAATTAAGATATAGATTCTTTTAATTATCTGCAAAAGTTTATTCATGTCTCTCTGCAGTCATTCCCACCTCTACTCATCTCCAGGCAACTTCTAATTACAGCAGTTTTACCTGATCTAGAAAGTCATATGAACGGAATGATTCAGCACATATTCTTTGTGTCTGGCTTCTTCTGTTCAATGCAGTGTTTTCGAGACTCACCCACATTGTTTTATGTCACAATACTTTCTTCCTTTTTGTTTTGAATAGCATTTCATTGTTTACATATACCACAATGTGTTTTTCCATTTGCCTGCTAATGGACATTTAAGTTGTTAACAGTACTGAGCTATTATTCTGAATTCCTAAAAGTTGAATTGCTGGGTCATATGCTGTGTGGGTGTTTGTAAGAAACTGCCAAACTATTTTCCAAAGTAGTTGCATCGTTTTACACTTCTATCAGCAACATGTGAAACTTTAATTTCACATCTTCACCAAAATTTGACATTGTAGCCTTTAAAATTTTAGCCATTCATTTTGGTTTGTATTTCTTTGATGACTCTAATGATGTTGAGCATGTTCTCATGTCCCTTTGGCTGTTTTTTGTTTGAATAATCCATTCAAATCTTTCACCAGTTTTTAAAATTAGGTTGTTTGTTTTTTATTATTGATTTGTAAGAGTTCTTTATACAGACGAGACCAGACCTTGTCAGACATGTATATTACAAATATTTGTTTCCAGTCTATGGATTTCCTTTTCAGTTTCT